TGCGGGCGCCGTTTACATGGTGGCGCGGGGTCGGCCCGGGAGGGTCTACACTAGGCGAGGGGGGGCCCGGGGCGGTCAGCGCAGGGGCATCCCGCTGCCACCTAAGGAGCCAGCCATTTAAGTCCCTCCTTAGGGGGCGGGGCCTAGAGCAGACGGGCGGCCATCTCGACCTATCGCAGCTAAGACCTGAGCTGGCCTAGTTAGGAGTCCCGTCAGAGTCGTCGCTTCCATGGTGGGGGCGGGCTCTGGATGCAAAAGCACCGCCCCTTTTAAGGACTCCCCGCGAGGCGGGGGAGGGATAGGACCTGGTACGGGGGTAGATGGGGTTGCAGCCAGGGCTCTGGAGGTCTCCTGGGAGGGGCCAAACCCTGGTCTTTTCTCTGAAAATGGGTCTCCCGGGCCAGCCCCTGCGTCTGAGCCCGCCCTGTGCCCTCTAAATGGAGCCCTCCTGTCCCCTTTCTGGGTGTTGACCTTTTCATTCCAGAAACAGAGACCTCCGGATCTTTGCAGTTTAAGGCAGGGAAACTGGGGTTCACAAAGGGCACTAGTCAAGCAGGAGGCAAGGCTGGGATTGAACCTGCGTCTGTGTCATGCCATTTCCTGGGACTGTTATTTAAGAAGTCTAGGAGCTGTGGGAAGTTGGTGAGTTTTACAACTAGCCAGTAACAGTATCCAATGTTTTCAGATGTGGCTGGTGGCCAGCGGCAGAACGCCAGCTGTGAGGTTCCCTCTGAGCCAGGCAGATGCCCAGAAGAGCCAGGAGCCCAAAGCCCTGGGCACAAATCCTGCCCCTGCCCTTGCTGTTGTGTAACCTTGGCCCAGCCCCCTCTGGTCCCTCTGCTGCTATTTCCCTCCTGAGTTCTCGGCGGGCGAAACTCCACCGTCCAGCTGCTCACGCACCGAAAGTCTCCATTCCTGTGGGCACTGCGATTGAGGCGGCGGCTGCTGAACGGGCTTCGGAGGACGAGGGGTTAAGCGCTCCTCCTTGCTCTCTGGTGCTCAGTCCCTGGAATTTGCTGCCAGAGCTGGAATAGGTCCAGCCACCCACTCCTGCCTACTGAGGTACTCCTGGGATTCAGGGAAAGGCTCCAAACCGGGCCCACCCCAAGCCAAGATATGCTGGGGATTTGCTGGGGTACTCATGAGATTTAGCCTCAGGCCTGGCTCCTGGACACCCTGGCTATGGGGAGACTGAGCAGTTCAGGGTTCAGCTGGGGCAAGACTGCAAGGAGAGGATTTAAAAGGTGGCTAGGTTCCAGGCAGAGAGGAGGGCGTTGCTGAAATTCTGGAGGCCTGAGAGGGCTTTTTGCCTGCCTGCAGCATCTGGATATTTTTCCCGAGGCAGTGGAGAGCCTGAGGCAATGGAAAATATCACACACACACACACACACACACACACATATATGCTCGCCAAGGACGATGTGGAAACACACAAGTTTTATAGATTGAGGAACTGAAGCTCGGAGAGGTGCAGGGACTGCTTCAAGGACACGAAGTCAGCTCGAACTCAGCCCTCCTGGGCTTCCCGCCAAGGGGTGGAGATTTGGCTGCGGTCAGACAAAGGCTGCCTACCAGCTGTGTGCCATCTGCCCGGCGCCCGCTGTGGGTGAAAAGACCAACCAGCCGTTTCCTGTGTCTGCCGCCAGCTGCGCCACCGCCAACCCGGGGCACCCTCCGTCGGAGAACAGGAGGAAGAACTACAACTCCCAGCACACATCGGGGCGTAACGTTCTGCAAGTACCGAGTCGGCGCCGTTCGCCTGCCACCTACTGGTCGAAAGGGAAAACTACGCCCCTGCCGTGGTGCGCAGGAGCAGAGCTGCTGCTGCGGGTACGCCCCGCGGTAACAAGGACGAACTACACATCCCAGAAGGCTTTGCTCCGCAGCGGCGGAGCCTATGGGCTCCCGGGTCGCGAGCGGCTAGCACGGCGTGAGCAGCCTCGGAACATGGCTCTCTGGGCCGTGTCTCTGTCGGGCCCAGTCGGTAGGTCAGCGGTGTTGCTGGGTGGCAGGTGAGTCCCCCGGATATTCCCCAAATCTGGAATGAGGGTGAGGTCGGGGACTGGCGCCAGCCTTCCGCACCCGCGAGACCCGAAGACTCCTTGCCCGTTTGCATAGCGCCGGTTGCAACCCGGCCCCGTCCGGGCGAGGCTCGGAGAAGCTGGGCGCCGCTCACGCAGTGCCGTCTCCGACTCCACAGGTGGCTCCAGCCCCGGCTGTGGCTCC